GAGAGAGAGAGAGAAACAGTGTTATCCTGCTAAACTGGTTAAACCTCATACTACGTGAAATTACGTCAACAAGCGTTATGCAATTGCGTGTGAAATTGAAAGAAACGTGAGAACGCATACGTATTATTCAGAGCGTAATTGCATTGATAAATAAAATGCGTCTCTTTTTCTCCAGCGAACCGGTTTACATTCACGGTTTACATTCATGTCGGGAGCTACAACACTCCTATTTTTAAAACGTATCTTCCGGCATGGCTAAAAAGGAGTCTTTTCGAAACACTGGACGTTCTAAAATCACCGGAATTGAACTGCATTCCAGCAGATGTTTTCCCAAAAGAGCGTTTATTTGGAGTAATAAACTGTGTACATAACTGTACACAGAACGGTTCCGGGAAGATCGTCGTTCTCCCAGGAGATAGAAATTCGTAAATCTTCTTCAATATTTTCGGGTTTCAGATTTGCGTATTTGCAACGATCGAATTTTGTTTGACCAGTGCGTATTCTTGTCGGCAATATGTATGCAATCGCGTTTGATAGCGCGATAACAGGCTGCCATATGTGTCCGGTCTGTATATCACCGAATTAAAAAAAGGAACGTTATCTGCTCGAGGCAATCAACGTCATTGCATTTCCCAGGCAAGGTCGGCGATAGGTATGCCTGAAAACCGATAATGACGTCAAATAATAATGATAATACAACCGTAATGTCAATTGTGACTGCCGACTAGGCAATTGTGCAACGAAATTATATACCTCACAACCGGCATTATCGTATTCGCGTTAACTTCTTCACAAGATAATAAGTTACATCCGTATATTACTTCCGTATTACCGTAGTTACATCCATAAGTTACTTCAAATCGTTTGTATCTGCAGAAGAAATTTTTCATTGGCAACGATAATTTTTTATTTACCAAGTAATTTAAATAAATTGCTTTATATGCCAAGTAATTTAGATATATTTCGTGTTTGTCTATATTTCATTTTATTTACAAAAGCGATCAATTAAATGAATCATTTAAGTTATATGAATAATTTAAATATATTCTGGGATGTGTTCTTTAAAATTCTATTATTCTAACATGCTAATATGTTCACAATTACACAGCTTATTTTCAGAATGAATAAACCACTATTTTGTACATTCTTACACGAGCAGAACAGTTTTGAAATATCTACAAATTTGATCAGATGTAGATATAAAAATAATTTTGAGCATTAAACAATTATGTCAAATATTCATATTAAAATAAATATTAATATAAATATTATTATATAAATATTAAAAATCTTAATATCACCACTATGCGCGCGCTCTCAAACATTTTACATAATTATTTTTATAATCCTATAAAATTATTTTCAAATCTATATCTAGTCAAATTTTCGAATGCTACAACAATATCGCTCTTTCCATGTATTTAACAAAATGTTAATTATGCGGAGCTTATTCCGACTATAAAATGCATGATTTTCTATTTATGGATTTAAAATTGAAATTTTAAACATAAGCGTAATTTTAAACCTAGTTTCAATATCGCTTTTTTGTGGTAATATTAAGATTTTTATAATTATCACACAATTAAGTATAATTACTATATAATTAAACATAAAATTAACAATCCTACTTAAATGTCAAAAATTCCATTAAGCACATCCCGAGCTCTTTTTCGTATCGACAACGTTTATCAAGATTTTTTTTCATAAAAATTTAAGAACAAATTTATCTTATCTTTATACATGTGGAGAATAACACGCAATACTGAGACAAATAGTATTCTCTGTTCATTGAGTTCCATTCGCACCTCACACCGTTTGGAATCTCAATTAGCGATCATTCCCCTTCTTCCTCTTCTGCTTTTTATACCTCCCTCTTTCGATACTTGGCGTTCACCATGGTAACCTCGCGTCAGACACCGAGCCCCCCATCCTGTTTCCCACCCTTTTACCTCTCCTCTCATTCCCTCCCATCGCACTCGAGACATAACGACGTGTTCCATTCGTGCTTTTTTTCCTTCCTTTCTTTCTTTCATGCGCTCGGGGAAGATCTCATCCTGTTCGAGACCGTTCTCGATTATTCTCCCCCCTCCGCTACGCGTCCCTTCCGGCTTATGTGGTAAGCCCTTATCCTTACCTTTTGCAACTCCTTCTCGAGCTCCAGCGCCCGAATAAGCAACGGACCGCGCACCGCGTATTCCATCTTCCTCAGGTTCACGAAGACGTTGTCCTCGGTAAGGACCTTGCCGCGCGGCATCGCCGTCGCCGCCGACGAGGCCGCCGAGACCGCTGCGCTCGCCGCCATGCCGCGACACGGAATAACCGGCTGGAGTAGCATCGACGCGGAGGACACCGGCCCGTCCGCCATCCCTACCCCACGGCCAATCAGCGCCCCGCTGCCGCTGCCTACACCCTGTCTCATCGCCGCCGCCGCCGCCGTCGCCGCCGCCGCCGCCGCCGACGTTGACGCGGTTGCCGTCATCGTCCTCGTCGGCCAGCTGCCGGTGATCACGGCGTTCCGCAGGCGCGCGTGTGACATGTTTGGATTTAAATATCCTCCTTGCTCCTTTTTCTCTTCCTTCCTCCCTTCTCCTCTTCCTTGTCGTCCAACTAATTCCCTCCCTTTCTGCACCAGCGAATGGGGAAACCTGCGGCGCCGCTTTCACACTTTCTCTTTCTCTCTCTTTCTCTCTCGTTTATCACTCGTTGATTAACTCGTCGATCACGCGTACGCCTTTGTATTTCTTCCTCTACCACGCGCCGCTCATCGCGCGCGCGAGAATCCTTCCTCCGCGTGTCGCCGATCTCGCCTATTTCCACGAATCCGCCGGAACGAACGTGCGGAGCGGAGCGTGCGCGGGATCGAGGAGAGCCGACGAAAATCGACGTGGACTCACTCACTCACGCACGCACACACACACACACATACACACACCACGGTCGCTCGACGCTCAACGATCGAGACGGACTGCAGTACGAGGCACGGGACGATACGGGGAACGAAGGGTAAGAGGAGGTGGAGTTTAACGATGACGGCGGAGCAAAGTTCGATGTCAAGCAGCGGCACGCCACCTGGGAAGTGCACCGCCGACGTCGACGATCCCGACGACGGAGGATGACCCGCGCGAATACGAACGGCCGGGTGAAATGGCTGATTGTCCTGCAAAGAGAGGCCAGGTTGAAGCCGAATATTCGATCATACGTTCTTGCGAATCAAATATCTATTTTTTAGAATCTCAGACTAGAAAAAAACCCTGAAGACACGAGAAAATGTTGCTCGAGATTATATGACCGATATCGATTGGATGCCTCTTGGATAAAATTAGTCAGATTTTCGCATTATTCGTAGAAAGAAAAGTCACTGATAATTGATCTTACATTTAAGGTTGTTTTATGGTTGTAAATCTTTTAAACGATTTAAATGAAAATGTCAAAAGAAAAAAAATATTTTATGCTCTTCTATGCTCTATTTTTTATATTTAAGATCATCTTAAGATTCCAAATATAAGTCATATAAGCTTATTTAAGATGATTTACTTAAGATAATTTTAAATATAAGAATGGACTACGAATATCGATCATAGTCTGATCTTATATTCAAGAGCTTATTTATAAGTACTTTATAAGTTATTATTTGTATTTATAAGTATTTATAAGTACTTTATTATTTAAATATATTTAAAACTCAAATACAATCTCAATATGTTATCACTATATATATATATATATATATATATATATAATAAACTACAGTAAAAAATTCCAACAATGTCATAGCAATTGCCGAATGTTACAAATATTGCTATAATGTTTTGTATTTCTATATATAGGTATTTTTATTCCATTAACAAGAAATTCACTTATCGCTAGCTTTGACAAAAGAATTTTTTATTGTGCACTGAAGATGACCATATTAAAGATCGAAATTACGTATGTAAATTGTTATTGTTTATATTAGTTATTTTAAATATACTAACATACAGCCATCTACAACTAGCTTGGCTCGTATAGTCCTGTGTTTTGTATACTCAGATTTAATGTCTTCCGAGCCTTACCGATTATGATTTCGAGATAATGTTTACTATTATATATGATGCTACAAAGAACGAAATTCAATATAAAGAGAAACGTTAATTCGGGATCGTTCGACTTTATCTGTTCTTCGATACCATCGGTAATAATTAATATCAGTAATAATTAATATGGACGAGTATCGATGCGAATGAGGCATCCAATGTTGTTTTACATATATTTCTCGAGGAACATTTCACGTGACAAACGTTTGCAAAAACAACTTCTCACGACAATTATCGCGAACCCGAAAAATTGTCCGAAGGTTGCGCCGCGCTTCGATTGACTTTACGGAAAGAAAGTGCGAAACGAGTTTCGTAGTGATACTGGATCATCTTTCCGAAGCGCAGTTTGAAAACGAGTGAGCGAGTGATTCGCGAAGCGCGCTTGCGCGCCCGCATTTTTTTACATTATATTCTATCGTGGATCAGGGATCGACTGAGAGTCGCCCCTCGAAATCGAAATGCCTTTCGAGATTCAAGGATCGATCAAGAAAAGCAGTACTGATGGGATGAACATGATTTGAATTAAGATTTATATTGCAATGCAAAATCATTTGCATATAAGAAAATTGTTAACAGTTGGAAAATACTTTTTTGACAATATCGTATTATATTTTAAAATTAAAATAAATACTTTTTTAAAAATCTATATATAAATAAATAAAAACGATATATATATATATATATATATATATATATTATTTATTATTATATGAAATATACATATACATCATATGTATATATTTGCAAATCATTTAATTAATTATATTTGATCATTTGGTAAATTATTTAATCAACTTTAAATGCTTCTCATTTCATGATACACATTTTTTCTTATTTGAGTGTAGGAAAATGAATGACAAACTAACATAGCCGGGAAGAGCAAATGATTAGTTCAAACTCAAGAATCATTATTGAGAACCTCCAAACGATCGCCGAGGTCATGGTCTTTGTACTGTGAACCTCAAGCAAATCTACTTAATAAATAAAAGCGAACCGATAGTTCGTGTGTGTGACGTCACTTCGCGGCCTTATCTCCCGTCTCCTCGATTCAATCGCCTTGTAAATATTAATTGCGAATAACGAGACAAACAACGTTGCGCCCATGAAACGTGACGAAAATAATCTCTCGCGATGACCGTCGACATTACTAATAAACGAGCGGTCGCACGCGAGCAATTTTATACCGATTTTATATCGACAATTAAATATAACAATTAAATATAACAATTAAATGATCGCACATTCACAAGGTGAATATCGACGGTTCGACGGTTATATTTAACATCGTCTTGAGCACGAGTGATATCAAAGTTCCATTCGATAACGCGATCGTTCAGCCATCTCGAGCTATAAATATCGTCGATAATCGCGTGAAAACGTTCGTCGCGAAGGGCAATTCGAAGGGTGACTTACTTACCCTTCTTTCGAGCTTTTCGCCGTTTCGACACACCAGCCAGACTGCCGCGATTCCAAATTTGCCGTTTATTGCTTCTATCATATTTTTAGCGAGCGCATTACGTAAACGCACGTGGGTGAGCAGGTAGTCAATGTATGCGATCATATTTGCGTCTGGGAAACAATACGTTTGCGTTTAAGCAACGCATTATACGAGATGAGTGAAAGAGTGACACGACGATGGCAGTCCAATCTCGATCAATCTTGACGTAAATGTCTCCCTAATTGAGATTGGCGCGTTGACACGATGGACTTTGACCTATGGAAAATGGACTCGGATCAATCGCGAAATCTCGTGTCAATTTTGTTTCCTTATCAGAAACTCAGACATGATCCTTCTCGCGAGGTTCCCTCATTTTTATTATCTTATTAATAAATATTATGTATAGATTAAAGCTTGGAATTGTATAGAGAAAGAATTTTGCTACTCATTAAAATATTTCAACGGCATAATTTACAGAAAAACTCTATTTTTATAATCGTGTGTATATTGTCATAATTGGATAAGCGTTCAAGTTTACGTTTTGATATGTGATATAAAAAATTGATTAGCGACTGAAAAGATTGAAGTAAAATGTATTTGAAGAGCTTTCGATTAGTAAAAATATAAAAAGATAAGATAAATAATTTGAATCCTTGATAAAATTTTATGCATGCGGAATTAATTTTTTTGCCAGCGGTAGGTAAGAAAGATGGGCGATGGCGAGTGTCAATGAAAATACGAGAGATAGCATCATCTGTCCGATTAGCGTTATTAGTTAAAAAAATATTTGATAATTTATGTTTCTTTTACAGATGCCAGCTGGACGACACTAATATCTAAAATCGCATGTAGAAATAAAACACATATGTCTTTCTTATTCGCTATTTCAACATAGGTGAGAATAAAGCAAAATTGCTGACATTATCGGCGCGTCGTGAAAAAATAAGACTGCTTGTTTTTTTATTTTCACTTATTCTGCATTTAAAATAAGATGTATTTTTGGTTTTCTTCCGCAGCGAAAGAGAAGCGAGAAAAACACGGTTAAAACGAAGCAAAGCTAAAGACACGAAAAAATGTAAAATTTCAATAATTTTTTAAATGTTCAATTATTTTAATATCTAAAATATATATATGTTATTTATTATTAATCAAATAAAATCATAAAATGTTCTTTATGTATGTTTTTTAAACTGACATTACGTAAATTACGTTTATTGAACATTGAGAAAAAGCATTTTGTTTAAAATTACATAATAATTACTTGGATATTGATCATAATCGTGATTGACAAAAAGATTCCCAAATTTAAACCAATATATTTAACAAAATATATTACAACTTGTCACGCAAAATAATTTGTTGTCTTTTCTCAATTTTTTTCCTTTTTGCGCAACAAAACGCTTCTAAATAATCTAAAGTCACTTATACTTTACACGTTTCCGTGCTTAGTAACTAAAAGGATATTTTGCAGATTTCTCGTTAATTATGTTAAGACTCTTAATTTTTCTTTCTACAGGCGTCTATCGTCGAATATACGATATTTCCGCTGACGACAAGCGCGATTCGGCGCGTCGTAGCGTCGCATCCTCAACGGGATTTCCCGTTTGCACGCGACGCAAAAACTTCGCGTACTCCTCTTAACAGCTTAACCCGCCGCCGATCGCTATTTTTGGCACGACGTACGTGCTTCTGCCGTGCCAAGTTCGCGCGAGTCGCGGAACGTTCCGCTCGTTCTCCGCCGCGACGCGGATCGGAGTTGCGGCGGAGTTCGCTCTGTGAGAGAGATTCGTTCTGAAAATTTTATCCGAAAATTATATCACGAGACTCCGCTCCACCTGATCCACCGCAGCTCGGAATAAATGCACAATTTCGAATCTCGGAGATTATAAAGACTTTTTTTACAATATTTGCAATTGATGCAAACGCAATATCTAAATTATATTTAAAAGAAGAACGATTTCTATCAT